CAGGAATCAGAGGTCATGATGCTGTAAAAAGCCTTGAATGTCCAGAGGCCCCTATAGACAAGAGGAGTCGTAGCCGATCCCAAAGACGGCCCTTCGAGGACGCCACCATCAGATGGCCTCCCGACTACACTACACCTCTCTGGAGCATGTAGGGCCAGAACGTTCAACCCTCTCTCCTGATATGTAAACTGAAGCTCGGCAAGGTAAATGACTTACCCAAGGAAGCACAGCTGGTTATCCGAAGGTCCAGGACCGGAAATCAGGATGTGGGGGCAGGTGTAATACAGGCCAGTTGGGGTTAACTAGGAGAGGCTCTCGGAAGAGATGAAGCAGCTTTCATACCTTCTTTCGCCGCACACGTGCACACATGCACACGTGCACACGCATGTACATGCACCCCCACATTCACACCCCCTCTTTCTGCCAGCCCTGAGAGAATCAGGAACGCATTCAGTGCAGAGGATGAGCTAGACAATTACTCTGTTGCTCCAGCTCCTAATTTCTCTGTCCTTGTCCTTGGACACAATTGAGAATTTCTTTTAGGTTCACAATTAGGCTCCTTCTCCAACTGGCATTGTCTCTGCACCTCACCACGTGACTCCCGTCTCCCCGAGCTTTGCAGCCTCTCAGCCCAGCAGAGCCTGACAAATCCTTCCCGCAGCGTGTATGTCTCAGGCTCAGAATAACCTCCCCAAATAAAATAAAAACCCTGACGAAGTGATTCTAGGTGACTCAAAGCATTCTGTTCACAGCAGCATCCCCAGTGTCTGCTTTCTTCCCAGGTCACAAACACGTCTCGTCTACCATAAGCATTCGGACCAAGTCCAAGGACAGCCAGGGAGGCCCATTGCACCAAAGACCCTAAACGACTGAACCACGACGATGAGACACACTCACCTTCCCACCTTGAGTGCGTTGGGGGTCGTGGAAGAAAGACATCTGGTCTCTTGTGTGGCTAATAATGACAACTGTAGCAGAATTGTCAATACAAGTACTTGCCACTTACTCTATGCCGGACGCTGTTCCAAGCATTTTGCATTTATTAGCTCATTTAGTTCTCACACCAACTCCGTGAGACTGTTGTCATTGTGCCCATTTTACAGATGGGAGCGCTTATTAAAACTGAGACCGTCTGAGAAGCGGAATCAGCATCCTTACCTGGCAGTGATCATTGGAGCAGAGAAATGGCTCCCCCTTTGGGGGGACATGTGTACTCCAGCGTACCACAGTCTCCACTGCCCCCTATTGATTACATCCAGTCAGCCAGGCTCATTTAACTGACTCGCTCCACCCCTGCAGGTGTCTGAGTTTTCAGCTCCTACACTGTGCTGCCTTCTCCCCTGTACTTCCTCTACCTTCATCTAGTTCTTAAGGAATCAGGATCTGAGACCTGCAAATCTACCAAAAGCTCCATCCTCTTCCTTCCTTCAGATGGACTCCTCCAGGAAGCCTTCCTTGTTTAATCAGCGATTCTGCAAATGCCTGAGCTGAAAAAAAAGTTCTTGGAGGTCATCTGGTCCTAACCCAGCAGTTACAGATGAAGAGACTGAGGCCCAGAGAGCTATGAAATGCTGCTCCCCCTTCACCCGGTCATCAAGCCCTGTCCCACCAAGAAGGTCCCCACTCCCCTTCCTACCTGTGGAGGTGAGGTAGAGCTGGAGCTATTCTCATGCCCATTTTACAGATGAAGGACCTGAGCCAAGACTCTGGGTCTCTCTTCGCAGCATATGAGGCTGCTCTCACTTGCAAGGTCTGCCTGACCACAAGTGAGGGCCGACTCCCTCTTATTATTCCTGGCTCTCCTATTAGTCCCTGAGCTCTAGGACCAGGTCTGGGCCCTCCTCGCCTTTGCCTGGGCACAGGCATCAGAAAGCCCAAGCCTGGGGCCCCCACTGACCCTCGTCCTGAGACTCAGGCCCCTTCATCCTGCCTCCTCCACATCATACCCACCCCAACGACACTCTCCTGCTGGCCTAGGCACGGCCTGATTCTGCCCCAAATTTCCCAGCTGAAAAAGGAGCATCACAGAGGCTAAATTTGACCCAAAGTCACAGGTGCTCCTGGAAGAGCTGTGACCAGCGCCTGGCCCCTGACCCTTGAATCCTCTTCACAGTGTTTTCCACTCCACTCTGCATTGACCCCCACCAGAAGCCAAGAAGGGACTCTGCAACGTCACTGTGACCATTCCCCTCTCTTGGACCTCCCTCCAGGGACCCTGACCACCTGGAAGTCCTCCCCTTTTCTAGGTGGAGTCTTGGACCCACCCCAAGACAGTTATTTCGGCATCTTTGATACCCAGGTCCTGGCAGATCCCTGAGTGCCCCGCCCCTCCTCCCCAGGACCCTGCCCATCTCCGATACGTGCAGCGCTATCTGTGCATCTGTGCAGGTTGCACGCTGCTCCCCTGGCACAACCACCTGGCCGCAGTCCTGATTGTCACTCGCTAGACATTGCCATACGTCCTATGCGGTGCAGCTGCCAGCTGCAGGGAGTGCTGTGGCAGCCCGCCACTCCACAGACCGGGGAGCCTCGCCTTCCCCTCTCCTCCCTGCCCGCTTCCGCCCCAAGGCCACCAAACTCCTTCAGGCCACTGGGGGTGGACCTCCAGGAGTGACATGAAGGTTCCCACGAGCAAGGGAAATCTTGCTTGGCTGTAATTAAACTCTGCCACCATGCAGGCTGCAGACAAAAGGGAACTCGTAATGGGATTAGAATTGTTATAAATTAAAATCATAAATTCAATAAACGCCTTATCAACCTCCCTCTGGAAACGGCTGGCCCACAGCGGCTGGCTTTGATAGGCATAATGGAGGGGCCATGGGAAGACGGGTCAGTGCAACCAGGCAGGCTGCAGGGGTGGAAGACTGCGGCCCAGCTGCCAGCCCAAGCTGATGGGACCAGGTCAGGGGGCCCCTCTCCATAGAATGCTCCCACAAGGGCAGACCACAACAGCTGATAGTGCCTGAGAACCAGCAACCGCACCCTATCGCCCCCATGATTTAATCCAGCCTAACTCCTCACCAACTTCCTGCCTTAGAATTGCTGACACATGTCTCTGCCACCTACCACACGGGCACCCATTAAATGGCCTTTGGCCTCGCGTGTGGGGTGTGGTGGAAGGACATACTTTGACACAGCAAACTTCTGGGTTTGAATCCCAATCCGGCACATGAGAGTGTCATGACCTTGAACGGGTGTCTGTGTTCGGGTGCTTTCGCCTTCACCCGCATCATGAGAGCACCTTCCCTCCTCCCTTCCTCTCATCCTCGCATTCTGCACATAGTCACAAAGTTCTAACTGAGTGCCAGACCATGCTAACCACTGGGGGAAATAGCAATGAGCAAGACACGCAAGGTCGTGGAGCTGACCTTCCAATGAGGGAGACATACATAAGCAGGCAAGTTCATGAATAATTGATTATCATTGCAGAGAGACCTAAAGGAGGAGCTCAGAAGACCCAACCAAGGTGGAAAGAGGAACAGGCAGTAAGAGAAGATTTTCGTGAAGAATTAAAGCTCTAGTCTGAAGAATGAGCTAAGAGAAGAGGGTGGGGGAAGCATAAAGAGCTCTCAACATAGGGGAAAAGCATGTGCAAAGGCCCTGGGGTGGGAGCTGCAGGCAGTAGGGGATCCTAGTTTTATGGGACCTAAAGTGTATACAACTTGAGCGGGGAGCAGGGGCTTTTTTTTTTTTTAAAGAATACAAAAAATGCAAAATTGGGTGCGAAAGTTAATGTTTATTTAGAATGAAATAAAGTTCTAAAGTTTAGAATGAAATAAAGTAAATGTTTATTGAAATGAAAACTGTTACAAATTATACATTTTATAAAGCTGAAAAATAGTGCAAAGATCACAAACGTCCAGGGGAAAATATATTTTTGTTAACTGCTTAACACACCTCTATAATATCTTCTTCTTACATTTTTGCCTGCATATTCTTGGATTCCTTCGTAGGTCAAGATTTTGTAGCATCAGGAACTAGTCTGAAATGAAGAACACATTATCTGAGAGGAGAAGTATAGTAAATGGAATAAAGAGTAAACAGAGTGAATAAAGAAACGGATCAAATGCCCTATCTAGAGGATGGGAAAGCCAAGGACACTCGATCAGAATGGCAAGAAAAAAGATGCCAAGACTATAAAAATAATTTAAGGAGCATATGTGACATTATTAAGGGTCCAAATATCCGGCTGATCAGCATAACTGAAGAAAATCAAATATTGAACAGCTGTTTGAAGAAATAATGATGGAAAACTTCCATCACCTGGTGAAGGAAATGGACATAAAACCCCAGGAAGCTCAGAGAATTCCAAAAATCAGGGATCCAAAGAGGCCCACAGCAAGACACATCATAATTAAAATGCCAAAGGTTAAATATGAAG